ACCTGCTAATCCACCACATTTGCTTTTGCTGCAAATGAGGTGGCTATATTAGCTACAGGTCAGTTCAGATGAAAAGAAAAAAAACATTTTCTGGAGTATCTTTATAATAAAAAAATATCCGATACTCTGATCAGTGAACACATTTGTGCAAAATATCCTTCTGTTAGCAACAAAATGTGGTAGTTTGCTGAAAAAAAGAAGAGTTGTGGCATGATAACGCTAACCAGCTTGGATGTTACTGTAACCAAGTTTGGATTTGATGGGCAAAAATAAATATGAACTTTTCCTTTAAGTTCTTTCAGAAAAGACCTTATGTGGAAGCAACTAGCTAATAAAACTCCAAAGTGAAAAGCGGCAACAACTACCATCAAGATTTTGTGATAGCTGGAAGTAAATCTTTTTCAGCTTTGTGGGAATTTGTCCACATGTCTCTGCAGAAGGTCAAACCGCTGCCTCTCAAATTGATTTAGGTCTGGCATTGACATGGTCGCTGTAGAAGTGAACATTTATTGTACTGGACATCATCGTTATGTTTATTTGTATTCTATTTATTTATTTTGTCTTCAGCAGTGGTTCTCAGTATGTGTGGGACTTTCCCGATTCAGTTTTATTCAGAGGTTCATGTTCAGTAAATAGAGCGCACCTGTTGTGTGTAATTTAATCTCAGCTTTTCTGTGAATGCCTCAAAGGTTTGTTAGAGAAAATGAGAGACCAAAAAAAAAAAAAAAACACAGCGGACAGGTCGAGGACGAAGAATGGATTTTATTTCTAAAACAGTTCACAACATCACAGTGCTACATAAAAGCAATCTGGAGGCATAACAGATAAAATCTCACCTGTAAAAAGGTAATAAAAGCACAGAGGATCTAAAGGTTAAAATGTCTCTTAAAAAGCAAGGTTTATATTCTCCTTTCCAGTGGCTTTGGGCTGTTTGTAAAGCAGGATGTTCCTCAGGCGTGGAGCAGCAGAGCAGAAAACACAGACCCCCAGGATGCAGGTCAGAGTCCTGGGGGGAGGAGACCATGGATGTTTGAACAGGGGATTGAATGTGCTGCGGCGTGGGGCGCAGCACCACGTGTTTGTCTTATCCTGACAAACACGGATAAGAGAGAGTTTAAAGAAAAGCCGGGCTCTTAGTGATATTCACAAGTGAGGCATCAAATCCTTTGCAGCTGTAATGTTGCAGCTCTGTAAAACATTTGAAGATGAAAAATGCGATTCAAGTCCACAAGAAAATTGTTTTATTTTTAACTCAGAAATGAAAGTTTGTGAAGCTGAACAAGAGACAAGTTGTGTAAGCATTGTTTGAGTTTTGAACTTATTGGTGCAATTTAAAACAAATACTTATTTCACAATGAGCAAGAAAAAACACCTAGTTAAAATTACTTCTTATTTTACTTTCGAATAATTTAACTTTTTGTTCCCAATTGCATGAATTAAATTGCTGATCTGATAATGAATTTTATTAACATGACAATAAATTCTGCTCATGTTGTGAACAGGACAAGCTGGATTAAAATAAACATTTCCCTTAATAAAACACAAAGTCAGATCGATGTAACGCACTTCCATCAGGATGCAAAAACAAGCCGCTAAGCATTCTGGGAAATAGTTCCCACTCCTGTCTTTTTCCTCTTTTTTTTAGCAAATGTTGGTGAAAAATGTATATTTCATGTATTTTTAACTGTTGTTTTGGAAACTATGAGTTAGTGAATGATAAAAGAAATCAAAATTTGTTCTTTTCATCTCACCTGGCACTTGCTGTTGTCACACAAACAGGTGCTTTATGGAGCTCACAGCTCTGTAATAATGTACAGTAATTAGCTGGAGTTTCCTGGTTTTGTATTAAACAGGTTTTGCACCTGGATGTCTGGAATGTTGCCTATTTACATTCTTTGCCTTTGTCTAATTAAAGACACAACTCATCTAGAAAGCTGCAGAAGGTTTGAAGAAGCGCGTTGAAGCAATTCACTGTCAAAAATGGTCAACAAAAAAACTAAAGCTTGTATATTGGTTTGTATTCAACTTCAAATCCACTGCATTGACCTAGACGCGGAAACTTGTGTGTATCTTTGAACCTTTGGAATGATGTTTGGGAAACATTTGTATAAATTCTTGTCTTGACCTCAGTCTGACTTTTGGAAACTTTGGACCAGACTTGCAACTAAGTTTTAATAGATTCACACATTATCAATAGAAATGTGTATCAAAATAAGGGAAATGCTTTATGGAAATTTACTTTCATGAAGTAAACGTTCACCTTTCAGACTCGTTCCCCAGTAAACACAGATCTACAGGCTCCACGCAGGGTTTGTGTATAAAACACGAGCTGAGGTTTGCAGTGTAAGCAGGAAAACGGTGATTATAGTTTCATGCTGAAGTATCTGTTGAATCAGAGTAAATAGAGCAAATGTTCTGCTCATAACCTTACAGAAATTATTTATTTTTACATGTTTGAATGCCATTCCTCATTTTTCTACTGTCTGCAGGGATTTTGGACAATGAGGACATCCGTGTGATGATGCAGGGCTGCAGCATGGTAAAAGTTCGCTCTCTGAGGTGGCAGAAGAACCGCAGCCTGCAGCTGCTGGAGGACGGACTCACCGTGTGGTGCGAGACCAAAAGCTCCCGCAAAGGAAAATCCCAGCAGACATGTGAGTCTCACCGGAAGCGACAATCAAGTTAGAAATTGGATAAATGACCTAACAGGAAGTGAAGGAAAGTGGAGTCTTAAGATTTAGCATGTCCAGGAACAACTATAGTCCCTGTGAATGAGAAGAAAGGAAACTGAAACATTATCAAAACAACCATGAGTAGTTGCGTTTTTATTACAAATGTGTGCAAATCTTTGTCTATATTCTGCTAATGTAAATATAGACATTATATCTGTCTCTAAAGGTAGAGACAGATGTAAACAGTTAAATGAGATATGAGAACCTTTATTCGAAATTTGCGTCTTTGCATTAAGGACATTTATTTTCATAATTTCAATTTTTGTCATTTCATGGTTATTGGAAATACAGCTGCTTCCTCATGCAGCACTCTTCAAATATCAACTTGCAAGGCTTCAGTAAAATCAAAACAGGTGATTTACACTTGTGCCTTCTTCCAGCATGGAAGAAAAGGGTTAAATAATTCAGGAATGAGGCGAAAGATTTTCAACACGGCAGAAACTGAAACACAACTGCAAATCTGTGCAGAAACTTCATCTGTCGGTCAAATCTCAACCACTCATCTGTGTTTTCAGCTCACAGACTCAAGAGGTTACACAGTCTGTTTTAGTGTGTTCTTAGTATTCTCCTTGCTAGAACATGAATTCATACACAAATGTAATTGCTTAGTCATTTTCCTTTTGAAGAAATTTGGTAAATAAGCTGACAGAGTGAGTTGTGTTGTGGCGTGCGGAGAGTTTGACCTGGAATTAAATTTAGGATTACAGAGTAGTGACACGTTAAAGCTTTTGCAGGTGAATCACAGTTTTTCTCTGAATAAACTGAAGTCATGATTCTCTGAACTCCCTCTACAGCAGGCGCACCAGTTTAGTTGCTTTATGTTAAAAACAAACATCGACTGTCGATCTGTAGAAGGACAATATCACCTGAACAGAAACTGAGTGCGTTAAAAATATGTTGTAGTGCTGAAACTGTGAAGAATATTTATTATTTATTGTTTATTTGATGGGGACACTCACAAGAAACACAGATAATCTGGAGTACCTAGAAGGGCCGTTAACAACTATTTTAAATGAAAATGTAAGATTATTTTCACAATAAAATGATCAAAAAGAGAATGAAAGAAATTAAAAAGGTATAAGACAAGTGAAACATACATACTCAAAGCATACAAAAATGAAATGTTAGAAAAACATTGCAATTTCTTATTGTTTTTCCATATGTCACTTTTCTAATTTATGAAAACCTGGTAATCCTCGGTAAATACATTTGTTTTTACATTGTTTTATATAGAAATCACATGCTTTTTCTTTGATTTGCCACATCACATCTTGATTTTCAACCTCCTGAGTGAATATAAAAATTGACATATCTCCTGACATATCTCCTGA